CCTGTTAATATAAGCAACGTCTCCGCCACAGGGAGACGTCGCTGCGGCGATGGTTCGGAGGCGTTGGGGCGCCGCTGCAACCCAGCCTGTGCCCATCGCCTCGTCGCCCTCTCCATCGCGCGTATCCATACATTTCAAAGCGTGTACTGTATCCGACCACGCTGTTGGTAGTCGTAAAGCGTTACACGGTACGTATTCCATCATAGTCTCAACTGCCAGTGAGTACGAGTCGATTCCGTTCCGTTGCGAAAGTGAAGGATATTTCGTTGCTCAGTGCCCGCGAGGAGCCGTGGGCAGCGGAGAAGCCCCGGCCGATGCCGCCTCCGCTCTCACCCCCTTGGCCCTGGGGGTAGGGGCTCCGGCACAAGCCACTGGCTTGAGAAGGGCGCGGGTGCGGTGCGTGAGATGCCTGTGCTTCGGACACTGCGGGGCGGGGAAATAGTACAGAAACAATTTTTAGTTTCAGTTGCAGGTGAGCAAATTGAGATAATAACCTTATGAATAAAACATAAAAAATGAAAAAAAAAAATACGAGTTTGCTTTAAAAAGTGAATGTATTCTTTGGTCCAAAAGATGATGTTCTATATGATTGTTCGTGGACTGTACATTATAGTACGCGGAAAAATTATCTTCCTATATTCTACCAGGTGTTTTTCCAGAGTTAGTAAATCGTTACGCGCTACCTGCATGATACATTTGATGAAAAGCAAAATGCTCAGATTTTTAATGTAATAATTGTTGAAACGATTATATAGATATTAACAATAATATAAACGATATTAACTGGATCTGATTCGTGGGAATAACGTAATTCAATGTACTCTTCTGAAGCTAACAAAGGATACCTCAGCCTTTCCTCTGAGGGGCACTGGGAACTTGACATAAACGCTACCGAAATGAGGAGTGGACTCCTTTAAAGAAGAAAACATGCGGTGCCAGGACAACTACGTTGTACACGTAAGTGCTGCACAAATTGAAATCGTTAAAATGTAAAGAATAACTTGAAAATTTATTTTGGAAATTAATGAACAGTTTTGCGTGCATATATTACATTTTAAATGATTTCCATTGAAAATTGTGAATCATGTCCTAATTCCAAAAAGTATGTTTCATTTTTTAAATGTATTCTAGTGCAAATCAAAATTCCCATTAGACGTACATAGTTGTGTGTTTGTGTATATATATATATATATATATATATATATATATATATATATATATATATATATAATTATCATTACAATTAGTATCATTTGTGGATTATTCACAACGATTGATTACAAAGAATTAAAACGTACAAAAGGTGAAATATACATGTAAGAAATTTTTTGGTGAAATTAGGTAATTACAGATCTAATCTACGGTAAGAGTACAAACGCTAGAAAACTAAACGAGAGGAGATAAACCTAGTTGAAGTCATTCATTACCACAATAGCAGCTTGAGATTACTAGCAAGCGGATACACAGCAGGATTCAATGCCGCCCTGGCGGGAATTGGAATTGCGTGGGCCGGCGGGGCGTGAGTAACGAGTGGCCGCGGCTGCGTGAGAGGGACGGAAGCAGCTGCAAGGTCGCCGGGGGCGGGGGCGGGGCAGGAACCGCCCATTGCGCACCCGGAAGCCCCCGGCCCGCGCACGCGTGCGCACGCATCGTCTTCGCGTCGTCCCAGCCACGTGGTCAGCCGGCGACCGCGACGCAACCTCCAGAAGGCCGCGCCTCAACGCGAAGCCGACGACCGCCGCCACCGCGACGAAAAGCAGCGTTTGCTATCTTACTCGGCGCGATTCGAAACCAGGCAGACCCCGGGGCAGTGCCGGGAAATAAACTGCGACCGCCCCAGGGTTCGAGTCCCGGCGTTAGCACGATTTTTGACGCTGGCGCGATTTTTGACGCTGGCGCGATTTTTGACGCTGGCGCGAATTTTGACGCTGGCACGATTTTTGACACTGGCGCGATTTTTGACGCTGGCGCGATTTTTGACGCTGGCACGATTTTTGACGCTGGCACGATATTTGACGCTGGCACGATATTTGACGCTGGCACGATATTTGACGCTGGCACGATTTTTGACGCTTACGCGATTTTTGACGCTGGCACGATTTTTGACGTTGGCTGCACGAGATGGAAATAAACCGCTGTCTCGAGGAGAATTCTTGCGGCCGGCGGTTCTGATCGGGAGTTTTCTGTGCTTTCTCCTATCACCACCAGGCGAATGCTGGAGCAGTATCCTAACAAACAGGTCACGATCCGTGCGCGATCTTACCCTCCTGTTCCTAGTCATATGCTCCCCCTTAGTTGCAAACTTACTGACATGTGCCATACTACTATGCATGTAGGGAGAGAAGTCGAGAACGTTGAGTTTGTCCCGATTGAAGTCGTGATCTGCTAGGGAGATACATGAAAGAGGGAAATGTCTGTCAAGCAGACGCGAAAGTTGACGCTGGATCTCACCATCCTGCGAGAGATGAAAAGGGCCACCTCACTGAATATAACATACTTACGAGTCTAACGATCATAACTAAGGAGTGGGTTTTAATGATTTTGCATATTTTTGTCCGTTACTTCAGGAAAGTGAAATTTCTTGACATTTGATTAAAATTGGATGCTATGAAGATTAATATGGTAGTGCATATTTAACTGATTTCTCCTGTTGCTGCATATTCTTGTAATTGTGGGAACATATTTTGCATATTTCGTTCATATAGATACTTACCTCTAAAACTTTTAATGTTTTCGCAGAAACTCTTTATTTGTGAGCGTTCATTGAATGGAAGGAGCTTGTCACAGTTTGCGTTTTTTTCGTTTCTGTAGATTAAATAGTTGTGCAAATAGGATATTTCTTTATCTCTTTTTTTAAACCAGAGAAAACATGAAACAAAACATACAATATACTTCATTAAGGTGCATATTAACTTCTATAATTTCTCCGGCAAAGTAAGCTAGGTTTTATTAGTTTGCACAAAGTTTTCATTCCAAGCATGCTTCTCCGTAATTTTATCAAGAAGGGTTGAAATGAAATATTGTTAATTTTAATTGCATAATAAAGGGTATTTTTCAAAATTTTTAAGTCATAAATGTATATTGTGTAAAGAATATTTCAAGATTTTTAGGTAATAAAAATCCTCTCCCTAATCATAACAAATCAATCAGTCAACCAATCAAACCATCAATGAATGAACTGTGGGGGCGGCAGAGCTTCGTGGTGTTGACCCTCCTCTCTTCCTTCTGCACCGCACCGAATTCATTTCTGCATTCTCCGAAAAAAGGACCCATAGTTCTATGAACCCCTTTTCCATCTAACGCCTCAATTACTAAGCATGATGCAACTTTTTCAAGAATTGGATTACAAAGCTTGCAATAAATATTTGAGAAATGTTTTTCCATTAATGATACGCGTGCTTCTTTTTTAGACGACAAAAGGATGTGTTAATTTGGGAATAAAAAAATAAATAGCAGTAAATGTTAAATGAAAGGTGTCAAAGTGAAACCATGCAGAAGATGACATTTTGTAAATAAATGACGAGACACAGAAACGTCCTTGCAGTCGTTCAACAGCAGTTTGATTAGTATTGGAGAGTTATCTGTCCGAACAAAGATAATTGAAGAATGTAACTATAGAATATTGTAAATATGAATAAAGTGGAAAAGGCTGTCAAAGGAACACTATTTATCATATTGAGAATGAACGACCCGGAACATACAGAAATGCTAATACAGAAATTGTCTCAGCTAAAACAAAAATTTGAAAGCACTACAGCAAGTAGATAAAGAATAACCATTTTCCCCCTTCGGTGTTAAAGCAGAGTGGCGTTTCTTCGCGCCATCCTGCAGAAAGAGTATTTTTGATGGTTTAGAAATTACCCTGAAGAGACATAATACTGGTTTTTGTCTTCAAAGAGCGTCAGGGAATCTAAGATTGGAACGTTTATTCATCTGGGCAAAGGACAACATGAAAAACAACGATTTTTAGTGATGGAAAAAGGTTTTAATAATAAAATGTTTCTGACTGATCGTTTCTCTAAGTCTGTTGCTGTAACGGGTATTCAAAAGCCTCCTGCATTTTTGCCAGTGCGTCAAGGGTGCAACTTTCAAAACCGTTTTCCTGTTCAAAAGAATCTACAGAACTTAATATCATGGGGAACGGAGAATTCTTTCTTATTTTTATATGAAAAGCCGTAACGTCGTCGCTCAATAAATGAAATTTATTATTATTATTATTATTATTATTATTATTATTATTATTATTATTAATCATTATCGTCATTATTCCTCTCTTTCATGAATAAAGATGTTATGAGTCGGTTGAATATAAAATATACCCCAGGTTGCAACCAGCTTCCTAAGAAGCAGACCTAGGAACTGTCAGCGCGTTTACAATACTTTACGCAGAATGTGGGCTGTTCCAAATAAATCCAAGTCTTTTCAGTGACCTGGAAGTTTAAGCAAGTTCTCACACAAATTTGCGGAACAAATCCCAGAGCTCCGATAACTATCGGGACGACCTGTGCTTTTACAGTCTGCTGATCTCGATTTCCAAACTCTTGTATTTTAAACGTTTCTCTGCCTCCTTGGTTACGACATTTTGATCGCACGGCACAGCCACATCTGCAAGTAGACAGTTTTTTCTCCAAACCTCGAATAACAATATCATGTTTCTTTGCCTCTACCGTGCGATCAGTTTG